AAATAAGAGATAAATAAAGATAAAGAATCTGAATATTATTTATACCACATCTGCTCGGAATGTGATTTATCTTGTTTTTATAATGAAGTAGAAAGGACCTCATTACTTTGGTACTACTAAGCGGGCTGAAAAATGTATGGAAATCCGTTTTTAAAGCGCTGAGGGTGCAGAAAAGTCTATGGAAATTCATTGATAACGAGCGGTTTTTTTTATTTATGTTCCGAAATGTGGTCAGTATGATTTTGCAGACTTTGCAACCAATTTTTTAACATTATGCTGATTGTTTTCAGGATTAATTTTGAAAAAAGAACAAATAGTAAAAAACGCGCTGATTATTTTATTTAAACGAGTCTTTAATTTGTTTTCCTACCTACTCGAGACTGCATATGTATGTGTATATTACTGATGATGAAGATTAATTGACACCGCTAGAATTAAAAGAAATTACTTAAGCAGTCATTGAGAACCTTTACTCGTGAAATCAAGAAACCAATATAAAGCTCCTAGACAAATTCAAATTTTCAAATTCAAACTCATTTATTCAGTCTAGGCTGTTACAAGCTCTTGTGAAAGTCAAACGCTACGCCATCGGTTCGTAAATCTACGGCGGGCGACCTTGTACTGAGAAGAACTGGCAAGAAACTATTGGCTATTTTTTTCTTCCTGTTTTGTTTCATACACTGTCGTCAATTGAAAAATGACATCACAAATTGAAAACATGTGTTGATGTCAACTTTCATCATATTAATTTCATAAATGATAAAGGTGCATTATCATTTATGAAATCTTTAACAGTATAGTAACGTTTCATAAGGAGACATGTTTTTATACACACTTTAAACTTATTAAAAGGTAAATTAATTATTTATATTGGTAGTTTATTAAAGTAACATATACCTTGAGCCACAAATGAACCAAGAAACTTTTGGAGTTTGAAAGGTGGCAATTTGAGTTTATCTTTATTTCTGGTATTGAAATTATGTACATCATCGCGCCTCGTATATAAATTTATGTTCTGACGCACAAACAATATACAATTGTAAATGTATTGAGAGGCAACAGTCATTATACCTCGTTCCTTTAATGTATCCCTAAGAGAAGTTCGATATCCCAAGCGATAAATAGCTGTTAAAGATTTTGAAGAATAAAAACTGTTTCAATGTCAGCGGCCGTGCCCCGCAATAGAATGCCATACGACATAATGCTGTGAAAGTTTTGTGCAAAAGTTTAGTAACTATAACAAATTTAATATAAATTTCAATTAAAGAATTTGTCTTTTATTTTCAAGCAGGTGCTTCATAAGCACTATGTATTCCTCGAAACAAACTGCTATTCCCAACTTGGATGTAACTACACCCTCGTTGGTAATCGGTCACTTTCTGCTCTCGGTGTTTTAGTCTTTACTATTTTAGTCGTGTTCTGCATTACATTAACGACCGCCGTGGTCGAGTGGTTTGTACGCCGGGTTTCATGGCGTCGCCGACTCGAGAGGTCCCGGTGGGGGCAGATGTTTGTGTGATGAACACGAGCATTTGTACTCCAGTCATGGATGTTTAATATGTATTTCTATATAAATATACTTATATATGTAAAGTATATGTATTCTATCCGTTACCCTAGTATCCCATAAAACAAGCCTTATAGTGCTTACTTTGGGGCTAGGCTAATTGGTGTGAGTGTTGGAAATATTTATTTATTTATTTATTATTATTATAAACGCGTGAAGAGTCAAACTGCGGAATTAATATTGCTGAATTTTGGTATGGGATAGAGAGAAACATTGGAATTATAGGCAACTTATTGTAACTAAACTATTATTATTCTACGCAGGTAAAGTCGCGTGTACAAAGTCAATTCAGAAAATTAGTTTGGATTCTTACAAAAATATGTCTATTCTATGCTGTGCGTATGTACGTATATTTAATATAGCATGTTGTGTATGTTTAATATAGTTTTATTGTTAAGTTTTTTATCGCATAAAGGTTTCGTTAAATACATTTCAAGATATCGGTTCTTAAATAGAGCTACATAAATTTAACTGTAGGGTCATAAGTATAATCAATACTTGCTCTTCTGTGATAGCGGCTAACCAACCATGCTTAGTGACGAGGGGTCTCTTCTCAGTCGAATTGAATTTATCCTGAAATAGAAATTCAGATCAAAACTATTCAAATATTTGTTAAGCGGAATTGTTGCTGATTTTTTAGTATATCTCAAGAAGTTAAATATATATTTATCATTTAACTGCTGGAATTTTAAATCTAAAGAAAATTTTACTAGAAATGAATACACGCTTTCCGACTGCTGTCTGCACCGCGTGAAATTTTTTCTAATAAAAATTTTCTTTAATCATACTTAAAGAAATCATATTCCTGCTAGTTCAAATTAATAATACTTAAACAACATAGAGATAGATAAGAATATAATGAAAAACTTGATTGAGGAGATCGATGGTACAGGTGGTTAGCGCATTCGGTCTGCGATCATGAAAGTTAAGCAACTTTCGCAATGGTCGGTCATTGGATGGATGACCAAAAACTTATTATTTCGAGCTTCTCCGTGCTTCGAAAGCCGCTTTAAGCCGTTGGTCTCGACTGCATCCGCAATGTGCCCGCGTGGTGGGCCACGGCCCAGCCTCCCTATTCCATCCATAGGAAAGACCTGTGCCTCTGCAGTGGGGACATGAATAGACTGATGAGGATGATAATAATAAACGAAATATTGAAGTGCCAATCTATTGTATCGCTTCAGATTAATCAGGCCTAGGCAAAAAATAAGAAAATACTAATTTTTCCTAACTTCAGGGTTATTGCATAATTATTGTGGTTCTGGGACAATTACACGTACAGTTTCACACTGAAGGATGACTTCACTGTGAAACTGTACGTGTAATTGTCTCTGAAGACTGAAAATATTATTTATTTATTAACTTGCGTTTTTAATTTTCTTTTAAGTACTGGTATAACATCGAATGCGCTACCCCTGATTGATAACCTTGAACTTTTCGCTAATATAAAATTTTGTACACCAAACCGTCGTACTGGTATCGCCCCGTCATTTGCTACGTTATATGGAGTAGGGCGATTTTTATGAAATTTTATATGCATATTCCGTGGGTCTGAGAATCGGCTACCTATCTATTTTTCATATCCTTAAATGATAATGGTTGTCCACCTGTTACGTAGTGTTCTGAAACCTACAATGCGCCTTCGCGCCAAAATTCAAACTATTGGGTATTGCAACGTAGTGTTCTCATATGGGTTAGGAGGAATGTTATCCCAGGAAATTGATAACACACTACGTTACACACCCCTTAAATTTGTATTTGTAGATTTTTTTTATAATGTGTTATTAAAAAATACATACAACCCTAAATTTTCTCTTCTACCACCTGCCCCTATATTTATGGCGGTACGAAGTTCGCTGGGTCAACTAGTTATTTTATATTAATTCATTACTTTACATAAAACTAAGACTTCCGCTCAAATATATTGTGGTAACGACCGACAGGCAACTACGGAACCCTACACTGCCCGTGGCACGACACGCACTTGGCCCTATTTTACACAACAACAGTTTTAGTTAATATAGTACCTATTTTAATTAGTTGGAACCTGTTATTGACCATTCTGTTTACTTATGATTATGTAATATCAATTTGTGCCGCTGTTGGCTTCTTAAAAATAAATAAATAAATCTGCCATTTCCAATGGCGTGAAAGTAATTTAACGAACAAGGCAATTCGGAAATTGTTATCAACTTGTTGTTATTGTTTCCGTACTAAATGTTAAACACAAAAAAGTGACAAATGTGGCGTTATTTGTGGTTATGGGAGTTATGTTTCGACACTTTTAACTTAAAAGCACTTTGTGTATTCTGCTAATCCCGTAAGCTATAATGATCAATATGGTTTGCATATCTTTGCATGTATAGCATATATGTCTAGCCTATAATGGCACAAGTATATATAATATATATAGAAAAGGGAAGAGGTTTTCAATTCGTCGGTTTTTATCATACCACGGAACAGAACAAGACGGTAAAATCAGCCAAAATAGAAGAAGAGGCAATAAATGTTTACTCATAGTGTGAATCTCTATATTTTTTTCTTAAAAACACAAAGGAGTTATTCAGGTTTGCTTGAGTGACTCCCCTCCAAAGTCTGTGTTGTTCGGTTCGCGGCATTTCGTCTTTGATGCCGCGTCTACGATTCATACGGTAGAATTCAATAAATGTGTTACACCTTTGTGAAGTTCAAGTAAAATTGTTAGAAAGTTAAGGGGACAATATCTACTGGAGTATGTACACAGGGTCGTTCGTACGTTCGGCTCTATAATTATTTAAGTTTGTTACTATCACCAAGTGCATACAATAATAAATAGAGTTAAGGGATATTCAAAAGCTTGTGAAAATTCCTGGAATGCTTATAAGTTGTCTTCGCTATAGGGTTAATATTTTATTTATTAAACGATCTCTAAATTGTATTAATGGTTTTACTTAAACTACCATTACGGTATCATTATATTTAAAATTTGAAATATATTTACACACTTTCCAATTTATATTTCAGGAACCCTTTGAAGTTTTTTAACTCGTGACAAAAATTAAAGTTAGTAGGTAACATAATATTGTCACTGAAAACACATTGGTCTCATGGCCTAATATTTTCAGGGCTCTAGTGATACATATTTTTTGAAAGAGAGCATGGAGTCCTGTCAATGTTATTCTTAAAAAATATTATGATTCACAACGCTTAGTGTAAGTTGTAATTTCTAAGATTAGTGCCATTTACTAGATTATTTAAAGTACATAATACATAATATTTAAAAATCCTCAGCACTCAGTTGTTACAAATAACTGTCTAAGTGATCTTGTACTCACTGGGCTATCATAATTGGATCTTACACAGGTCCTATTAGACCTCCTATCAAGAACATGGTATCAACCTATTCTTTTAATGAAATGTTTATAACTGATTACCTTTCGTTTATTTTTTGCAGATGTACCACCACACAAGATGACATATGTATTCGTAAGTTCACACTCCTCGATGAGTTGTCCAGCGAGAAACTCAATTCAGTACATCACCGACCTAGTTATGTGACGGATGACTGAGGTTACTACAGACTGTGCAGTGATAGTGCTTTAGAGTTTGTTTTACGATGCATTTGTCGAGTGAAGTGAGTTCGACTACCAATGGACTGGGGCACGAGGCGCCGTCGTCGAGTTACGGCAGTGGTTTGCCTAGTCAGCCTCTGACTGCTGAACTTTTGGCCGAAAGAACGCTGGAAGGCCTTCTAGCTGATCACCCCGGGGAGTTGGTTAAAACGGGATGTCCACATGTGGTGAGTTTAGATGTTGTCAACTAGATTTTAGTCTGGATTGTTCACTAGGTTAACATTATACTCATATTAAAAGTCAATGCAACATTTGTACGGTTTTGATTTTGAAAGATTTTTTCTATTGTTATTATAGTTATACCATGTATGAACACAATCGAAAAGTTTATATTTATAAAATTATCCAGTAATGTTCCTAGAACGAAAATATTACAGACCTAGGTAGGAACATACAGTTTCTGTAAATGTTGCTTGTTGCTGTAAGTTTTTCGATGTGTGTGGTTTGAAAATCCTCCAGCTTTGTACCTAGTTATACATACTTGGAGATATACATCTCCAAAGACCTTATCCAAACGAATGCTATTCCTTTCATCATCCGCTTCACAATGCATGTTACGCATCCTACTTTCGAAATTCTATGTTGTTCAATCGATTTCCATCCCTGTGCTTTCTTCCAGTTTGTGAAACTAATAATAATTTCGTTATGTGTTATTTCTTATTCCAAGTTTAAAGCTTAAGTATTTTTTTCCCTCTCGTTCCAATTGGTAATGAAATACGAAAACGTAAATAATATCTACTCATTGAATGATTACTTATTTCGAACTATTTGGGGCAAGATAATATCCATAAACAATAGTGCTAAGTTGTCAGTCCATCGCTTAGAACAGTTTTTTGGTGTAAAATTGATGAAAAATAAGCATATTGGCCGCTTGATGTCCGCGGTAAGCCGCTATCTGTAGATGCTTGCTATAGCAGAGTATCATTCATGTATTGTCCACCTTGACCTTACCCTTACCCCGTGAAACCCGGGTATATTCACTGATATATCATAATGTTGTGTTTTTTCACTATAGTCTTCTGTAAGGTGGTAGTTTACTCTGTAAGTTTCTCAGATAGATACCCACTATATCAACAATATTAGGTATGGTCAACGGAATGCAGGGTGCCATAAGAGCGAAAAAATCGTCTTCTCCTAAAATCGTAGGTTTACGAAGAACTTTAAAGGAACGACCGTTTGTGTAACCTACATACCTACACCTGTATGGTAGCAATTTCGCTAATTAATATAATGTTAGTTACCTCGAAAGTTAACACTAAACTGCCATAATGTTGAAAGACATTACTATCTGCTCATATTTTTATTTCTATCTTCGCATGTTTGTTACAGGTTTGCACAGTTTTACCGCCGCACTGGCGGTCGAATAAAACCCTACCCGTCGCCTTCAAAGTGGTGGCGTTAGGGGACGTCGGTGACGGGACCTTGGTCACCGTACGGGCGGGCAACGACGAGAACTGCTCTGCGGAGCTCAGGAACTGCACCGCCGTCATGAAGAACCAGGTGGCCAAGTTCAACGACCTGAGGTTCGTCGGGAGGAGCGGGAGGGGTGTGTATGTTTTGTTAGTTTTATAGCTTTAGATGCCCCGGGAGTCGATGAAGCAAGCGCTCCTGTCCCCCTAGCATGATTTATTGACATATACTGTCAAACTGCAATAGATTTTCACAGTTGAATGTCGCTAAAAGCTTTATCATATCGCGGTGTGGTGCTCAATTGCTCATATTAGAGGGCGCTGTCGCGCAATTAATAATTGTAACTGAGTTGCTTAAAGAATATATGAAATGAATAAGTAAATTAAATTGTTTAGACACAAACTCTACATCGTAAAGCTTTTTTTGCATGTGTCATATTATAATCTTTATAAATCAAAAGAATCTATTGATAGTTATAGTTAAAAAACTAAATAAATCCGACCCTAAAGGGTATAAACATAATTCATTTATTGTATATGTTTCAAAAGCATCTATTAAAGTTTCCTACTGTTGAGCATATACGAGTATGAATGTTTACGATAATGCAGACATCTCCTCATAAAAATCCCCTCACCCAGGGGAGAGCACTCAAAAACAAAGCCGGGGTGACTCGCCTTGTGAATATTTCAGAAGGTCTTCGCTTTGTCGGAATATTAAGTCAATGGGGGTAATTGATCTGTTAAACCCCGAGTGTATGAAAATGTCTGCTGTGATACATTTTTAAAAAGGTTGTATTATGAATGGTTCCTAGAAGGCTGTGTTTGCAATGAGGTTTGGGCACTCTAATTCATTAATGTTACCAGCTCCTGCCTAGTACATTGTCTGCATAAAAGTATAGGATATCTGTAGTAGTCCGTAGGAAAATTATTGTAAATCCAGGTGGCCTAGCGCTAGCTTTTATCGAATCGTCCTGTTTTAATATTTTTTAAGCTTTGAGATTTTGTAAGCTTATTTTAACACTAGCGGCCGTTTGTATTAACTAGTACTTTAAGAATCCTTTAAGATCTTTATATTAATTTAGCATTTTTCCGGGATAAAACGTATTCTAGGTCTCAATACAGGCCTTAAATTATATGAGTGCCAAAGGAATTTGCTCATTCAGTATGAACAAAAGTTGTAATCTAATTATTTTTGTGTCCTGGTAAAAATACCTATACTTGATTAATCTGTCATAAACATGACGCGTACCGACCTTAGTTAAGTTTATTTTTAGGTTCCAGGAGGTATAGAACAAAATGAATTTAAGTTCTTTTTCGCAACTCCGAATATTCGGTCGTGTCGGTCTGTGGATATCGTATATGACATGAGTGATCCCTTCTCTGGCGATCAGTCGGCTGCACTTGTGCTGATTCTAAATGCATTTATCGGTTATTGGTCTATCAGTCGATTAAGTAATCGTATAAAATGGGTACGTTATTACGTTTTCTTGTACTGATTAACACGATGATAATTGGTGATATATTAGATCAGGAAGTCGATTTAAAAATGGAAACAAATTAATTATGGGTTACGAATTATGGGTTTTCTAATAGAAGTATTGAAGAATTCTGCTTTATAAGATGTATAAAACATGTAGTATACAATACTTGAATCAAAGTTATTGGATAAACAAAATTTATAAAGTAAATAAAGTAATTTATACTTATAAAGATACTAGTTGTCTATGCAGTGTAAACGACAAATGAATGAATGAATGAAGAGATGAATGTTTTAAACAATCACAACGAGTAATCTACAAGTTTTGTATAAAATTAGTATATGACTTGTTTCTTGGTGTAAACGAGGGGTATTGCAGATTAGTTTCTTTAAAACTGTGCTGTACCGATAAAAAATTCCTTTTTTTATTTAAAAAAAATTCAATGTCACAATGTATGAACCAATTTCAAAATCAGCTTAGGAATATTTTACAAAACTTGACTAATTCATTCCCACTCGAATGGGAGCGCCCGTCTGGGGGTACAACGTCCACCTTATAGAAAATAACAGTAAAATAACACTATCTTTTGGCGGTGTTGTGTTTCTGTAGGTGAGTAGGGCTCCAGGGCTCCACGGGGTAGGGGTTTTGGGCAAGTTATTAAATAAAATCTTTTTTAAGAATTCTGTTGGATAACTAATAAAAATGATACTAGGAAACATACAAACACATGGAATTTTCATCGTTTAGCATGATACTTTGCTAACTAATTAATAGCTTATGCGAAAAAGGGTGCATATTAAGCGGTCAAGTGAGTTCACTTGTAGTACTTCGCAATTACGCGGCTCTTCCGTAGGAAACCGATACTACGCCTCCTAACCCTTCTTATGGGATCAATGTTACTACTTAACTGCAAATTTTACGTTACATTATACTTTGCTAATGGACGGGGAAGGATAAGCTTTATTGTATCAGATTTATTCTCCTCGTTTAATTAGCTTATAAGTAGGATATTTGAATAGAAAACAAAAAAAAGTTTATTAATTTCCGCTTATCAGCTTTTTTTTTATTAATTTGTTGTGGCTGTAATTTTTGTAATTGTTCACTCATAGATTTCGATGCCGATACAACTCGGAGTGAACAATCACCCCTATTTCCCCACCATTTAGGTAGGATTTTTGTTTTCAAATTAGTAAAAAATCGGTGAAGTGCGTGTTATACCACGCGCAGTAGATATTATGTTGTGGTTTTTAAAATTTTGTTTTCAATTCAAGGTTCTACGCGATATAAGCTAGCAACTACTTCATCTAAGTCACTTTTTAAGCGTTCTAAGGATTTTTTTATTAGGTACGATTTTTTCTAATAAGTGACTTAAACCACTATTACTCTTAAACTTATTGATCTATTAACCGTCATAATTTTCTTTGAAAGTTCAACATGACTTTTTTCTTACGTTTCAAGCCTTTAGAGGGGCGGGGGGACCTAATACCGGGGAAAAATACTATCTACGGGGGGAAAAATCACACCCCTTTACATGGTGCTCTCTTAATTTTTTTTTAATTTATATGGGATCAACTTCGAACCTTTTCCAATAAAAATAGGAATTCTCAAAACAGACTTCCCTGTAAAAAGGACTTGATATCCTCCTCCGTTTTCTATCATTGGTTGAAAATGGCATTTGAGTGATGAGAACAAAACACGTCGTAGCTAGTCTACAAGCTGTACTAAGCTTGTTCCTCGTAATAATAAAGTAAATTTTTGTAAGAACTGAAATACGAACAAGTTTTAAAAATTTCTCATTGTTAGTTTAGTTTAGTTAGATATATCAAAGATAATTTATTAAGTTTAATTATAAACAATAGTCAGGTCGAGCCCAAGAAAATAATAAAGAATATCACTGCTTCTCAAACTTCAATGTAGGTATTAGTTTATTATAACACAGCCGTCTCGTAAGGAAACACAATTTCTTAAACTATCCGCATCGATCGGGCAAACTTAAAGTTTGGGGTCGCTAACGGGGATGAGCATCTAACTGTGAACTCACATCTCATATTCAAATAGTGGGGAACTAACGAAGCGGGGCAGCAGGGGAGAAAGGGGCTCGCTAAGAATATCACCGGGGTAACTACTAAGAAGTAACGGGGAGGCAACTGTGTCACGTCACTTTTGTTTCACGTAAACAACTATAATACGAGTAGACGCGTGACGTGACACGGGAACAGATCAGCTGAAATGTGGTTATGGTGATGTTTAAATGTTGTTTTGTTTTTGGAATACATATTAAGTACAAAAAGTTCTTATAGAAATTAAGTTATCGATCTTATTTTTAGGGTTCCATACCTCAAAAGGAAAAAACGGAACCCTTATAGGATCTCTTTTGTTTTGTTGTTCGTCCGTCCGTTCGTCTGTCAAGACCGTTTTTCTCAGAACTGTGTGGAAGTATCATACTGAAATTCATATCTAATACTCAGTTGTACTGTCTGAGCTGAGCTGTGAAAAAATCAAACTTCTAAGCCAAAGCAATCCAAAGATACAGCCGTTTGTGCCGCAAATTTTCGAAACTCGCACGGGAATCAAAACCTACAGGGTATTTACCGTGAATCTAGAAGCTTGAAATTTGGTACGAAGTAACGTCTTATAGTACAGATAAAGGAAAAATTGCGAATACCGTATATTTTTAGTTACATCATATAATATTTTTTTTTAAATTTTAAAGTTGCTACCTCTTTTCTCATGAACGCGTAGAGTAGTATTAAATTGAGTTTGTACGGAACCCTCGCCTCGGTGCGCGAGTCCGACTCGCACTTGGCCTTTTTTTATGTTTTTTTTTGTCTACTTCTCTGACTATACTAATATTATAAAGAGAAAATGTTTGTATGCTTGAAACAAATAAATTTAAAAACTACTGGCCAATTTCATAAATGCCTATACCATTGTTTACTTTATTTTTAAATAAAGTTCACCCGCCGAAAGTCGTGGCGGATAGAAAAGATTAGCTCCTATCATATTTTCCTCAGATAGCATAATGCAAATCATCGGAGACTTTTTATCTGGACTGAATTCTAATATGATGTTTAAATTCCGACAAAGTAGCAAAATAACAAAATAAAAGAAAAAACTTAAGTTAAATTTTTGATAGTTAAAAAACTTCCAAATTGAAAGCAATATTTTATTTGCCAACCTAAAACAGCGGCTTTCCGTATACAAAAGGTGAAGTTCTCCTTTTCATATTTTCCTAGGTGTTACATGTACTAGCCAATAAAATAGCATCAGTATTTAACATTATACCCTATCCGTTATAAGTACTTACTAGTATATGTTCCAGAGATATGCATGACAGTTATTAACGAACACACTCATATCTAAACAGAAATTATGCCTCATGTTACCTTTGCCCTAAACAGCTGAGCTCCAATTAACCAAAAAAAAAACAAAGTTATCCATGAGCTTTAAACTTAGTGAACTTATTCCAGTTGTTAGAAGAAGTTCGCAGTGAAAATACGATTTTCCCTAAACAAAGCGCCGGGTGCAGCGTACACGAAAAAACCAATATAGCCTTGAGTGGAAAAGAAGTTAAGAGGTGTCTATTTGTCACGTTCCTTCCTGGGCATCCTGCTCCCAATTAAGGGTAAGCGTTCTCTTTGTTTATCTTAAATTGCGAG